CCGACGCGCAGGAATGAACGTATCTCGCATAAATCAAATAAAGCACCGAGTCGAAGCAGTTAGTGAAACAGAATGTTGGAGAAAATGTGGGGTGAAACGAGCGGCAATAAAGGTCAAAGTCACTTTGACGAGCAGCAAATTATTACATCCAGAGATCATTCCTGAAATGGCGAGGGACGCTGCAGGCGACCGCTGTCAGCAGCAGGGAGTTCATCCTGAGTGTGTTGAGGATAAACCATTAGCCAGATTATGGCATTTAGCCACCGGACGGGGTTCATTAAACACATCTTAACTCCTGGTCTCTGTTGTTGAACCTCGGACTTGGCTCTTTTGAGTTCTGCACATTAAAGTCATATTTAAATCATATTTAAATGTCAAATAATTCTGGCTTAAACATGTATATAAATGTACTCTTCATCAGACTATGTTTTAGAACATTTCTTTAAAAACAACAACAACAACAAAAAAATGCTGTTTTAAAATCTGTTTTTTTCCCCCATCATCTTCTGCAGGCAGTTAGTTCTACGTCAGCCTGAACACCTAAATTCAGCCAATCATATATCAGCGGTCATCTGTCAATCAAATGTTTTCGGTCATAGCATCTTGATTCATATGTCGCAGCTAATATACGCAACGGTTGAAATCAGAATCCTTTCCTTTCCCATTGAGTTGCGTCCCAGTGTTCACGGGGATGGACGTCTGTGTCTTCGGCAGGCGTAGAGCTAACAGAACTGGCAGCGTTGCGAGGCAAGGGCTCAAACATGTACGGCTGGAAGCCTTCTACACCAAACCAAGCTTCTGCCGCCCTGGAGTCCTCTTCCACAACATCTTCGTACCCGCTTTCCTCCTCTAAATAAAAAATGTATGATGGAGGAGACTCATCCACGACCTCCGACACTAAACTCTCCTCCTCTTGCATGTTTCCTCTGTCCATAGCGTTCCTTGACAGCGTCGTTTCTAAGTCACCAATTTAGTGCTTCTTGGTCCCTATGGAATTTCCCATTGGGAACCTACTAGCGCTAAGTTGCTAACTGGTTAGCAACTTAGTGCTAAGTTGCTAACTGGTTTGCAACTTAGTGCTAGTAGTTTCCCAATGGAATTTCCCATTGGGAACCTGCTAGCGCTAAGTTTCTAACTGGTTAGCAACTTAGTGCTAGTAGTTTCCCAATGGAATTTCCCATTGGGAACCTGCTAGCGCTAAGTTTCTAACTGGTTTGCAACTTAGTGCTAGTAGTTTCCCAATGGAATTTCCCATTGGGAACCTGCTAGCGCTAAGTTTCTAACTGGTTAGCAACTTAGTGCTAGTAGTTTCCCAATGGAATTTCCCATTGGGAACCTGCTAGCGCTAAGTTTCTAACTGGTTAGCAACTTAGTGCTAGTAGTTTCCCAATGGAATTTCCCATTGGGAAACTACTAGCACTAAGTTGCTAACTGGTTAGCAAGATGCTTCCCACAAACCGGCTACAACCAAACTTGGTTGCGAACCTTCCTCCACGACAATCCCGCCCCCTTGATAATCGACCAATCACATTCACTTTATTCACTCGTGTAAAGTCGGGCACCACTGGGAGAATTCGGAAATGCAACGGTCGGAACAGCCGCTTCCCTACGACTTTAAAATCTGTTTTTATTGCAAAGATCTGAGCCACACTTTCTTTCAGAGTGAGCTTGATCTTTTATTTTCCAGTTTTCTCTTTGGATCAGGGAAAAAAAGATATAATTGACAACCAAAACTTTTAAAATGACCAGAGCAACACGTCGTAGCTGCAAAGAACTTTGATCTGAAAACATTAAAGCCAGATTTCAATGAACTGTTTGAGTAGTTTTTCCTGGTAATAGACAGATGCTGATAAGCAGCAGGAAATGTTGAGCCTAGAAAACTGCAGAACGAGATTCTGCTGTCATGCTGCTCGGGACGAAGGCGCCAAGAATTTAGCTCTGGGAATATGTGGGAAATTTCAATTAAACTGGAGATGCAATCTTCAAATAAATGGGTTTATCTTTATCATTAATAAGTTGATCTGAAGATCTTTATTAATAAGATCATGGCCTAAAAATGAAATGTGTGCATTTTATGTTATTTCTGTCAGGCGTTCATACTGCTATGGCCCCTCTGGTGGGAAAGAAAAAAAATGTCTTCTGTCTTTAGACATGACAGGATTGTTTAACCTGCAGAAGAAAGGATTGCTGCGCTGCATTTATGTTCAGGTAAAAAATAGGAGACCCCACATTTATTCACATGAATTCATAAAGGACAGTATAGAGGGAAATTTTGACTATGACCTGGATGACTGACAATCTCCACCAGACCTGAGGGTTAGAAGTGATTCAGTTTATTTTTATTCTTCACCTTTATTACTGAGAATCTACACCAGTATCTACATCAATATTTACTAAATGTAAAAGAAAAAATGCCCACAGGCACAATGTCTCCTGATGTCACTCATTAAGGATGGATGAGCCTCTCCAAGCTCCACTGAAATATTTCTTTAAATCTCATTAGAACAATGATTCCTCACTGCAAAAACGATCTAGAAATAAATAAAAAATTCTTAAATTAATTGTATTTAACCTTAATTTAAGTAAAAAAATAAAAATAAAAATTTTTACTCTTAAAATAAGATAATTAGATAATACGCACTTGAAATAGGACAATGCAATGTATGTTTAAATGTAAATTGTCTCGTTCTGTTGGCAAACTGTTTCACTTCCCGCCTCAATTCAAAACAAAATGCAGTAATTTTAAGAAAAGATTAATTATTTAGATTTTTTTGCAATGCTATCAGTAAGATCTTGGGGAAACCGTTGACTCGTGTTTGCAACGGTTGCCTCCTGAGAAAAGGAAGCATCCATCTTCACTTGGCCTCTAAACAGCCTCATATGTAAGGAAGAAGTGAAGCTTCTTTCATTTCTGCAGACAAAGCTGCAGATAGGAAGCTACAGGATGTCTAATGGTGTGTTCAGACGGGGCCCCGTCTGGGCATCAAGGCTTCTGATTTACATGCACTGCAAAAAATGCACATCTAATTAAGCAATTTTTACTTGAAATAAGTGCATTTTTTCTCCAATTCAGTACGAAAGTGAGACACTTTGCCGATGGAGCAAGACAATTTACATTTAAAATAAGAAAACACAATTGCATTGTCTTATTTCAAGTTCATATTATCTAATTTTCTTATTTTAAGGGTAAATACACTAAATTTAAGAAATTTTTACTTAATTCTAGATCATTTTGCAGTGTGCACACTGAAAAAAAGTCATTTTTTTTCTTAAAATAAGTCAATTTTGTCTTGAATGGAGGAGGTAAGTGAGACACTTTGCTAATGGATAAGAACAATTTACATTTAAAATAGGTAGAAAACAACTGTAGTCTCTTATTTCAAGTGCATATTATCTTATTTTAAGAGTAAAAATACTCATTCAATTATCAAATCTACTTATTTACCTACTGAAATTAGGGGTAAATATACTTGATTTAAGAAATTTTTACTTATTTCTAGATGTGTTTATAGAGCAGTACGGTGGCCCTGAAGTGCAAACTGCAACTACAAATCTAAAAGTGCAACTACATTAAGGAAATCGCAACTACATAAAGCAAAGTGCAACTACATTAAGGAAAACACAACTACATAAAGCAAAGCGCAACTACATTAAGGAAAACAAAACTACATAAAGCAAAGCACAACTACATTAAGAAAAACAAAACTACATAAAGCAAAGCGCAACTACATTAAGAAAAACAAAACTACATAAAGCAAAGCGCAACTACATTAAGGAAAACACAACTACATAAAGCAAAGCGCAACTACATTAAGGAAAACACAACTACATAAAGCAAAGCGCAACTACATTAAGGAAAACACAACTACATAAAGCAAAGCGCAACTACATTAAGGAAAACACAACTACATAAAGCAAAGCGCAACTACATTAAGAAAAACAAAACTACATAAAGCAAAGCGCAACTACATTAAGGAAAACACAACTACATAAAGCAAAGCGCAACTACATTAAGAAAAACACAACTACATAAAGCAAAACGCAACTACATTAAGAAAAACAAAACTATATAAAGCAAAGCGCAACTACATTAAGGAAAACACAACTACATAAAGCAAAGCGCAACTACATTAAGGAAAACACAACTACATAAAGCAAAGCGCAACTACTTTAAGGAAAACAAAACTACATAAAGCAAAGCGCAACTACATTAAGAAAAACACAACTACATAAAGCAAAGCGCAACTACATTAAGAAAAACAAAACTACATAAAGCAAAGCGCAACTACATTAAGGAAAACACAACTACATAAAGCAAAGCGCAACTACATTAAGAAAAACACAACTACATAAAACAAAGCGCAACTACATTAAGGAAAACACAATGACATTAACCTACCGGAAAAGGTAGGTACCAGTGGGAAACATGAGCCATCGCTGATTGGAAGACGGCGCCGTTTGACCCTTGAACCGGAAGTTGCGTCGTCCTAATAGTCCAGCTTCTTTTACTCAGAAGCTGATCAAATATCGGGTTAAATATCGGTGGGGTGGCCGATGGCCGATATTCAGTTTTAAGGCCGATACAGGCTGATACCGATAGGGGGCCGATTATATCGTGCATCCCTAATTGTGATATATATTGCATATCGCGATTTAGCTAAAATAAATTGCGATATAAGATTTTCTTCATATCCCCCAGCTGTACATTAAATCTGTCCTGACTGTGAGTGAGGAGCAGGAAACAGCCTTTATTATTGTGCAGACAGCCACAGTCAGTCACTTGGCTTGCTAACAGCGTAATGTCATCAGCAAATGCGATTAGCTTAGCAGCCATTGCACTCGCTGTCTCAATGTTTTTGTCATGAAGAATCTGATGTAACCAGGTTGAGATGGAAAATTCAACTCTGTTTCTTTCACTGAAAAACAAACTGTTAAAAACTGATCCAAATGTTTCACATTCGTTTGTGTGTCCAACACTGTTTTCTGGTAACTGTGACCAGATTCTTGGCATTTTATTCACCCGTATTAATTCTCCAACATTGTCTCCTTTTTTCTCTTTTTAGTGAGCTTGTGGCTCCAGAGTTTACAGAGACGTACTACAACAACGATGGACAGCCTGTGACTGTGACCAATCACAATTACACAGTAGGTATCAAGCAATGGCAAATTGTGTCAACTGTTATGCTGTGGTGGTTGAAACCTTTGCAAAAAAAAAAAAGGTATATATAAAAAAAATGTTTTAAATGTGAACAACATTGAACTATTACAACTATAGCAGAAAGGCACATTTGTTATTAGACAACATTCTGGTCAACCGCTTGATTTAGTGTTTTCTGCTGAGATTGTAAACATTTTCTAGCTCAATTGTTTGTTTGTTTTTTTATTAATAACCAAAAAAATAACATTAAGACAGCTAGTTCTTCATTAGTTTTTATTATATAGACAAACCGTTTCTCAATCTGTGTACTTGTGCGTTCTAATGTCCTCGTGAAACGTCATCAGCCTCAGCCCTAGCACTGTTCTAACTCACAAGAACAGCAGACTGAGAACGGACAAAGTCCCCGGATATAGTTCTGGCCCCTCCCTCTTTACCCAGCATGCATCAGAGCAGACTTGTCCATTCGAGGCTGACAGCTGTCCCAGCATGCACTGCGGCAGCAGCTTCCAGGTTGGCGCTCAGAGAGCTCAGAGTATTAAGTTGAAAGTTCTCTTTTCTGTTGCTGTTGTTAAATAAAAGTACATTTTAAGATCAATATTTTACTTTAAGCTTCACTATATGGAAGATTTACTGATTTAGTGCGGAATCTTTAAAATGTTCTGAAGTTGAGCGGACCGCGTCAACCTGCGGGCCTCTAAGGCTAACGTTAGCCCGTCTGCAGCAGCCAGGGCTAACGTTAGCCCGTCTGCAGCAGCCAGGGCTAACGTTAGCCCGTCTGCAGCATCCAGGGCTAACGTTGGCCCGTCTCTCTGCATAGCTGTGTGTGAAGTGGCTCTGACTTAGAAGGAAGTACTTTGCTTCAAGACTCAGATTGCTTCTACTTTTGGCTACTTTAGATCGCCAATGAAATGTAATATAAAAGCAAATATGAGTAATAATGTGTTGAGACTCCAAAAGACGTTTGATCCTTAAGAAAGCAGTGTTGTGTTTGCGGCACTAGTGGCTCTGTGGAGTAAAAAATGAGCACTGAGAGTTGATATCCAAGGAAGAAAGGTTTTATTTTACTCTGCAAAGGAGAATGGCACAAACCAGCTGGATACAGCTCTGAATGCGATTCTGAGGCTGGAGCATCCAACGCCTGAATATAAGAAGATTCCACACACACACACACATTAACATTTCCCAGGAGAAACACTTTTATTTATCACAGGACAGAGATTTGTTTCAGATAACAGGTTTCCATTCACCCCAAGTCATAAGAATCTTGAACACAATAAGGACATGCTTTCTCACTTTCTCACAAGGAAAACATATGACTCTACAGCTCGTTTTTGCAAAGTAGGCTGACAGGAAAGGGGGTACAAGAGAGGGGGACAGACATGCAGCGAAGGACAACAGGACGGATTCAAACCCGGGTCGGCCGCGTCGAGGACTAAAGGGCTGGTTTTACTCCTGCAGCAGTGTGTCGCAGTTTTTGATTTATGCCCAATATTGAAGCGCTGTCTGCGCTGTTATTCCACGCCACAACACAAGAGGGACCATTAGGAACTATCTGTGGGTCTAGATAAGGCCGAGGCGTGATGAAGTGGGGGCAAGTTTGTGCGACAACGGAGGGACATTAGGGCCAAAAAGAGCGGGGATCCAGGTAGAAAAAGATTCCCAGCGTTCCCGCGCACCTCGCTCCTCTAGCTGGTGCATCTTGACGAGTCTTTACCACAATGGCTGTCATATAATCAAAACAAGCCGGTAAAGAACCAAACAGGAAATATGTATAGTGTAAAGTGGATGTAGATTTGACCAATCAGAGGCCTCCTGTCTGCGGTCACCTATACAATTTGGGAGAGGTGCACCAGAGTGTCTGCAGAACGGGGGGGGCACATATCTGCGTTAACTGCGACACACGCAGACGACTTGGTTTCTGAGCATAAATCAGCCTTTACGCTGGAATAGGTCACTAGTTGTTAGGATTGGTGCCATAATACTCCCTGTACCTTATGTCTACATGTGCATTAAATCTGCCCTGACTGAGGAGCAGGAAACAGCCTCTGTTATTGTTAAACAACTGTGCAGGCAGCCACAGTCAATCACTTAGCTTGCTAACAGCTTAATGTCATCAGCAAATGTGATTAGCTTAGCAGGCATTGCACTCACTGTTTTTGTCATGACGAATCTGATATAACTAGGTGTAGATGGAAAATTATCTGCGTTAACTGCGACACACATGCAGACGACCTGGTTTCTGAGTATGAATCAGCCTTAAAGTCGTAGGGAAGCGGCTGTTCCAACGTTGCATTTCTGAATTCTCCCAGTGGTGCCTGACTTTACACGAGTGAATAAAGTGAATGTGATTGGTCGATTATCAAGGGGGCGGGATTGTTGTGGCGGAAGGTTTGCAAGCAAATTTGGTTGTGGCCGGTTTGTGGGAAGCATCTTGCTAACCAGTTAGCAACTTAGTGCTAGCAGGTTCCCAATGGGAAATTCCATTGGGACCAAGTAGCACTAAATTGGTGACTTAGAAACGACGCTGTCAAGGAACGCTATGGACAGCGGAAACATGCAAGAGGAGGAGAGTTTAGTGTCGGAGGTCGTGGATGAGTCTCCTCCGTCATCCATTTTTTATTTAGAGGAGGAAAGCGGGGACGAAGATGTTGTGGAAGAGGACGCCAGGGCGGCAGAAGCTTGGTTTGGTGTAGAAGGCTTCCAGCCGTACATGTTTGAGCCCTTGCCTCGCAACGCTGCCAGTTCTGTTAGCTCTACGCCTGCCGAAGACACAGACGTCCATCCCCGTGAACACTGGGACGCAACTCAATGGGAAAGGAAAGGATTCTGATTTCAATCGTTGCGTATATTAGCTGCGACACATGAATCAAGATGCTATGACCGAAAAAATTTTGATGACCGTTGATACATGATTGGCCGAATTTGGATGTACAAGCTGACGTAGAACTAACTTGCCTGCATAAGATAATGAAAATAAAACACATATAAAGGATTTTTTTTTTTATAGAAACTTTCTTACTTTTGGGACAATATATTCTGACAAACAGTACATTTAAATACATGTTTAAGACAATGATTTGAAATTGAAATATGATTTCCCTACGACTTTAAGGCCTTTGTACATGGGTCGTGAACGCTACCCACTGCGCCACGCATCACGCCCGCAATACAGTTTGTCCGAGTGACTTGCAATATATATTGTGTCACGATTTGGTGTTGGATTGAGGACCCAAAAGCAGAGGCAAGTAGGCAGAGGTGAATTTAGGTGGGTTTAATGAGGTTCACAGGTACAGAGGCAGGAATCAAAAAATCCAACAAAATTAACAAACAAACCAGAACCAAGGAGACATCAGGGGAAACCAAACTCTAGGAGCCAGGGAGAGACGAGGTAAGCAGACAGACGTTAGACGAGGATCCAGCAAACCGGAACTGAAGAGGGAGGGCTTTTAAAGGTGACAGAGACAAAGAGGGCTAACGAGGGGATTGGAAACAGGTGAGGACAGAGCAGAAAACAGAGCAAGGGAAAGAGGACACAAGAGGGCAGCAGAGGACAACAAATGGAAAACCTGGAAAACAGGAACTAATAAGAAAACAACAAAATAATAATTAAACACTAAAACAAGGAGCAAAGTAAAACTGAATACTCTAAATAAACATAACAAAACCAAGACTGTGACATATTGACGTCATAAGAAGGGGCATGGCCCCAAGATGACCTGTTACCTACGACGATGTTTGCATATTTAAATGGACAAAAGTTTTCATAACAAATGGCCATGTGGAATAAAAATGGTCATTTAGATGAAGTATACACTTTCCCGATAGTGAGCTGGGACTCTAGGCTGGCCTGAAAAAGAGATTAATAAATTAGCCAGCCGGCCATCCGCCTAGTTTAATCCTTTTCACAGCAGCCAGTCATCTTAAACCACTAGATAATGGAGTTAACCAAGCCCTAAATGATAACACCTATTTTCACAAAAAAGCAAAGAGATCTAAAGAAGGAAAAAGGTCACGGTTCTAATGTCATTAAATCCATTTTTGCGGTTGGTCCATCTCTGCACATAAAAAGGTGTCTTCCATGCTGGAGTCTCATACAAATGACAGGTATTTCCAACCTCACAAGTGCTCCAGGACATTATCCATATTACATCCTGTTCAAGAAATGAGATTAATTACTGCGGTCTGGCGAGGAGAGTTCTCACTGACAACTTATTGGTGCGTTGGCTCCAGCGGACCCCTCGCTGCTGCTCGCTGTTTAAATGAAATACCTCATTTCACGCTCCAGTGAGCTGACAGGGACTGTTTGAACGAACAAAAACCAACATGCTGACATTATTTCATTCTTGAGGTGGAAAACCCTCCTTCAATATTAAAAGGGGGTCTTTAGGCCTAAAGGGAGAATTCATGAAAGGTGTCATATCTTGGTGCTTGAAAGGGTGAAAGTTTTAATTTATTTCCTGCTAGTGTCAGATTGCTTCAGTTACCAGAACGAGAGCGGCATTGTCACATCTTTTGTGTCTTTAATTTGATTCTTGAATGAAATATCTCTGAATTTCTAAGTCGTGATTTATCTTTCCCACTGTTCATTAGGAGAGAAATGAAAGACGGAGTACCTGTAACTCTTCTGGCTTTCCTTCCACAAAGACATGGAGATCACAGTAACCTAATTTCACTTTTCAAGGGTTTCCTTTGTTTCTCGTCCGTTTCTTCATTCGTTTCAGGTTATTATTTATGCTGCTGTTTTAGCCCACTTCATGTCAGAAAGGTTTTGCATAAGTGATACCTTGATTGTACAGGTAGCTACAGCAAGTGGAGCGTAAAGTTAGAATTCCGCCAATAGGGAACATGATAAATTCTCATACGGGCAATTTTATATAAGACACTCACACACACAAACTATGGAGGATAAAAAGTGCCAAAATTAAATAAATAAATACAGCATTAAATAAATAATTAAATGTGTTAATAATTAATTAAATGTGGAATT